CAAATTCTAGAAAGTAGGTGTAAGATTTAAACTACTTCCATGATTGTTAATAAAATACCAATTTCTCGTAATTGTTTGAAAGATAATAAGATTTTACTTTAAACTTTCACAAAGTGTTGATACATTCTCATTGAATTCATTGGGGCTTCGTTCTGTAAATTCCTTCAAAGTGTCAAGTTTTAATTATAATAAAAGGATGGCGAGGATTGCGTTTCCGTGCCGTGACGAGGAGAAAATGGGGAATGGCAATCACAGTAGATATTAATTTCCATTAAGGAACATCCAATTTCCAAGGTGGATAGTAAAAAGAGTCGATAATTATATTTAACAGCGGACGTAAAGGACTCTGATAGATTAGACCTCGAAACCTTCGATTCTCCTATATTCTTCTTCTCCTCCTCCTCCTCCCTCCCCCTCTTCCCACTCTTTTTTTTTCGCACGACCATCTGACGACCATCATCGTTTTATAACGAGATCGACTGGATATGGACGTAATTAGAATACCAATTATCAGATGGGTTTAATCGAAACCGTGATTACCATCTTCCGTGACACTCCAATTTAAAACTACTTACTCAATTTTCTTCGAAAAGGCTATTATCACGTTCATCTTATCGCGTAAAAATTTTATATCGTATCAAAAAAAAAAAAAAAATCGAAATTACAAAATCATCTAAAAACGCAAATTCCTCAGGGAAAAAAAAAACAACTAATTTTTCAAATCTAACTTAATTAATTCATATAAAAATTAATTCATTTAAAGCAATCAATCAAAAATTTAGATATTTCAATTTTAATTGGCAAGATATTCCAAAAGTTTCACGAAAAAAACGATTCAAAGATCCAAATCAACCTCCAAATTACTCTATAAATTGGTTTAACTATAAATTCTAAATCTAAAATCCAAAAATTTATTAAAATTTTCGTTCAAAATTAGATTGCAATTTGTTCAAAAAGGAAGAAATTCAACAAATGATTTAAACTTATTCAAATCTCCTTACTTTATCTTTATCCATTCTCAAATCTCAAGACAACAAATCCAAAAAACATATTTTATCGATAATTTAAAATTTTCAAATCTTTATCTACTCAAAAAAAAACCTAAAAAATTTCAAAAAGAAAAAAACTCTTGTCCAAATCTTCATTCACTCTCAAATCTCGAAAAACCAAATTAAAAATCCAAGAAACAATCGATAATTTAAAATTCTTAAACCTTTATCTCTTCCAAAAATTCGACCACCTGAAAAATTTCAAAAAGAAAGAATCAATTGAAAACTCTTCACCCCCTCTCAAATCTCAAAAAACCAAATTAAAAATCCAAAAAACAATCGATAATTTAAAATTCTTAAACCTTTATCTCTTCCAAAAATTCGACCATTTGAAAAATTTCAAAAAGAAAGAATCAATCAAAAACTCATTCGCTCTCAAATCTCAAAAAACCAAATTAAAAATTCAAAAAACAATCGATAATTTAAAATTCTTAAACCTTTATCTCTTCCAAAAATTCGACCACCTGAAAAATTTCAAAAAGAAAGAATCAATCGAAAACTCTTCACCCCCTCTNAAAAAAAAAAAAAAAAAAAAAAAAAAAACAGTCGACAATATAAAATTTTCTCACTCTGAAACCTTTACCTATTCCTAAACCTCCAACCAACGAGCCAAAGAAAAGTAAAGAAAAAAAAAAAACGTAAAAAATATACTCGACCTGAAGCATCACGACGCGTGAAAGAAGGACGAGCACCCCCCCGGATGCACCTCCTCTCTCCGTTCCTCTCTGAAGCCCAGTCACCGCCCAATCGCCATGTTCTCGCCACCTAAGATCCGCGGGACGCCAATTACGCCCATGCGGTTGGTCGCCATCAATCAGCGAAATTTCCGAAACGCAAATATGGTAAGACAGTCGGTGCCTCGCGACTCCTTTCAAGGAAGACGTGGAAGACGTTCCACGAACCAGCCTCCACTCCGACTAGCACGTCCTCGCACACCTGCGCCGTCCTTCTCTCGTCCTCTTCCCCATAGAGGAGTAGGCGCGCCATATCCACTTTTATCCCTTTTCGCGTATAAGGTGTTCACCTGTCACTTAGCGCAGCGTCCCGGGAGCAGCTTCAATTACGGCTCTCCCTCGCGCACGTACGTTAAACCGCGTACACACATTTATACACACACACACACATACACACACGGCTTCGTTATCCAACCGGCCGATCCTCGAGGATTGTTATTAGCCGTAATCCGCGTGGTAATTCGATCGAGGGATGGAAGGCCTCGTGTTATTCGATCGGTTGTCCAGTTCCACCGCGCGACCAATCGGTTCGAGCCAGAGTTGGAGAAGGTTCGATCGCGTCGCGATTCTTGGACGTAAGGATACTTTTCAGTTTCAGATATAGATTTTCTATTTTATTTTCTTTTTTTTCACTAATAATTTACGTTTCTCTAATCGGTTACTACAGTAGCTCTAGTGTTGTCTTATTTACGATTTAATAAAGTGGAAATTTTATCTGTTATATAATATCGGTACAATAATACCAATTTAATTTTTCCAATAATATTAAACTCCTTGCACGACCTCGATTTCCCACACCCCCTTTAACTCGAGTAAAGCGAACAATTAGCCGGAGGAAATTAACGAGACGTGTGAGAAAGAAGACAAGAAAGGGGAGGGAGGGGAAAGGAGAATTTCACGTACACGTATGTAACGTAACACAGACGTGGGAGCTTCTACTAATTCCCCTTCTCCTTCTCTGTACTACGTAGCACCCAGGGGGACCTTTCGAGGATTGTGGCACTTAACGGATGATTAAGAGGGCAAATAGAGAATCGCGACCCCTTACCTTCTCCCCCCACAGGACACCCTCCTCGGCGTGCCGTACGTTTAATCGAGTTACCCCCCCATTTCGTAATCACCCTAGGCGTCCCCGAGGCGTTGCCGTGGCGACCACGGCCGCTCCTGAAACCCGATTGGCGGATCTTCACGCACGCGGAAACACCCGGCCACCCCTTTCTACGTGGCCCGTTCCCCAGGATCAGCTCGAGCGTTTCTCCTCTTTCGGGAGACCGCCACCCCTCCACCACCCTTACTGCGGCTCGATTTACACTCGGTTTAACCTGGCTATCTCTCCACCGCTCCCCCTCCCTCGAGTCATCGTCGCTTCGTCGACGACGCTGCTGTTTTGCTATTGGGGGTGTGCAGTAGCATGGTTCGTAAAAATCGTATAAAAGATGTTCCAAACAATGCTTGGACGATTTATGCGCGCAATCTTTCCCCCCTCGTGATTTCTCGGATTTCGGTCCTCGAATTTTTTGAAATTTGAGAACGAGAATTAAGAATTGAGAAAAAATCTTAAGGTTAAGATTTATTCGTTAAGGTTTTACAATTTTAAGTTTGCGGCAAGAGAGAGCGACGGAGATGGAGCTATCTTATTTGTTCTCTTTAATTGATTATATAAATAAGGTTCAACTTTTGAGATTTTTTTTATAATTTCGTGGAGAAGTTTCGTGTTTGATCCTTAAAAATTTGGTTCCATAAATATATTAACACTTTACTTTTATTTATTTTTAGTGGAACAGGTTTTTAAATTTTAATGTCTGCGTTATATTCTCTTTATAAAAACGTTACAAAAAATATGTTTTCGTGTGGTGAATAATTGGTAAGATTGGAATTTTGAAAGGAAGATTAATTAAATCTTCTTGAGATTATGATTTTTAGAAATGAATTTATATCATCCTTTTTATCCTTCTCATTTGATTCAATAAATCCAATCCTTATATCAACTCAAAAGCGTCGAAATTCAACGATCCTGTCGATCTTTCATATTTAATTAGAAAAAGAACAAGCTCACAATTTCTTCATATCGAAACGAATAAATCCTCGTTCGTTAATCAAAAATTCGAAACTTGAAATCAGCCGAAAATACTTGAATTTTAAAGAAAAGAAAATCCATCCAAATTCAATTAAGAAAAGAATTCCCAAACACGAGTTAAACCGTTTCGTTCCTCGCCCTATTTCCACCCCAAATTCCACTCTAAACTCCATCATCGTGACAATTTCCATTTGCAAACCGTATCGCTGAACGATCTCCACGCACGTCGTTCGATCCTCGACGAGGGGTTAATCCGGGTCTTGTCAAAACCACGTTGGATCGTATGTTAGACAAACATGGCCCCCTTCCACCCTTTTCCACCACCCCTCCCCTCTTTCGATCGTCGACAATGCTGATTTCACGCGTAGATAATTCGAAAATGGGGAGCCCTTTCAACCCTTCCACCCGAAGCAGGAAGCAGGAACAGGACAATGTGTATCTAACGTAGTCGATCCGGGGACAATGGACGATTTCTCGGGCACGGGATCGTTTTCCAGCCAATCGTCCCATCCCTTTTTCTTTTCCCCCTTGGCGAAAGGGGTTCCGCGTCAACGACACGGCCCATTGTAACCGGATACACCCCGTTAAGGGGTGGCTCCTTGATACACCGGGGTGGATTATAACTAGTTGCCACTTAATTTGCCGAGGCTGTGGGGTCGCACAACCCCTACCAATGTTGGAATTGGATTGGCCGGATCGATTATTCACGCTTTAGACGTGATTTGGCTTGCGCTCGGATCAAAGGAATAATTTTTACTTTATTTTCCCTCTTTTTTTCTTTTTTTTTTTTTCATAGAAGGGAGAGAGGAATTGTTTCTGAGATCGCGTAAAAATTCATCGACTTTATTAATCTTGTTATAACTCATGAATTGTAATAATTCTTACTAGATATGGCTTATTATAATTTTCAAAATTATTTCGTCAAAGTTACAATTCACGATTAATTTTGGAATACTATTTTTACAAAAGATGGAATTCGAAATGGAAAAATATTGGATTATTTTGTCACCAGAATATTAGGAATTCTCAAGCGGACAATTTATTTTAACTCGATTATTATTATTCGATTCGTATTAAATTTGTTTCATAATTTGTAAAACTGCAATCGAATTGAGGAAAATCGATTTCTGATCGTTGCAGGTGAAGGTATGGTTCCAGAACCGACGGACGAAGCACAAGCGGATGCAGCAAGAGGAGGAGGCGAAAGCGCAGCAGCAATCTGGGGGCGGTGGAGGCGGAGGTGGTGGCGGCGGTGGAGGGGGCGGGAACACGAACAACAATTCCAACAATAAGAACACCCATCACGTGAGCAAATGGCAACAGGAGACCGGAGATTATCACCACGAGGAGGAGGAGGAAGAGGAGCACATCGATCCGGAGGCGGAGGAGTGTTCTAGCGGCTCGGAGGCGTAGCTAGACGTTCTCTGCCTGGACTAAGGTGCCAGGAATTGCGTCTGACCGACGATGAACGATTGCTCGAATTTGTGGCAACCGTGGTTCGATCATGATCGACAAGAAGAATATAAGACCCCTATGGAGAAAGGAAAACCTTTTGGATTTTGTTGTACTGTGCGATGGAATTGCCGGAATTGCCCGGCTTGCCCGTGTAAAAATTTGGAATCGCGGGGGTGTAAAGCCAAGGAACAGGATGTATCGAGACGAAATCGAGAATCTTTTTTGGAATTGCCGGAGAAGAAATTTTTTTTTTTTATCGTGAACATCCAAAGAACGTCGCAGTGAAAAGTGTAGAGAGTTCTCGAATTTGAAAAGATTGGGGATTGAAACAAAAACAAAACAAAACAAAACAAAACAAAAACTTCGATGGAACGGCTGGAGTTGCCGAACGATACTTAGTGCGAGTGATCGAAATCTCGAGAATTGTCGGTGGAAATGGAAAAATTTCTTGCCGATCGACCAGAAATTGTATAAAAAAAAAATTGTCGATAGTGAGATCGCGCGTGTGTCACAATCTTAGGAAGTGAGTGTTACACGAGGTCTCGATTGTCTTGCAATTCAGCAGACTGCTCAAACAATTAGAGAGACTTGTGGAATTGTCGAAATTCCAGAAAAGAATGCATCGAGGGAAGATGTAACGGGACGGAAAGCGGCGGATAGAAGAGGCTAGGGAAGATGTAAAGGATCGGAACCAAGGACAATTCGAAGGAATTGTCGAGGAATTGCGCGTTTCCAAAGATCGCAAAAGTGAATGAGCGAATGAGCAGCGCGCGACGTTGGAGCGCGCGTGGATAAGCTCATGATCGTTCGATCGTGGAATTGCCGATGTTTCTCCATCGATCGGCAATTCCACTAGTCGTCGTTGGACGACGACGGAAGACTGCACTTTGGCAAGATCCCTTCGTTGGCAAGACTGACATATAGCTCACCCTCGTATCCCCCTCGTCGAAAGCGATCGAAGAAAAAAAGAGAGAGAGAGAGAGAGAAAAAGAAAAACGTGACCAGACTTTCCAAGACGATCGAAGGAATTGCGCAACTTCGTTTTTCGAAGTTTGTGCGCGGAAGCTGGATTAATGGAGGCATTGTTTCCCCCTAGAGCCGAGGCCAAATGGACCGGTTTCCGGCGGAAGCTCGAGCTTCAACGTAGCCCGTTGAAACGTTTTCGAAGAAACTCGATCGACCTTTTCGAACTTTTTTCCAACACACCATTCTCGACGGATGGAATTGCGCTACTCTCGGTGATATCTAATTTCTCCCGGTGTTTTTCTTGTACCATAGTTCCTCGATCGATTCGAAGAGAAACGCGAGAGAATATGTTCCTTGGGAATATATTTCGAGGATTATTCCTTTCGGAATATTTTTTAATGGAAAACGGATCGAATAGATCAGACGGGTTTCTAATCCTCCTCTAAATGGTTATTAATATATCGCGTTCACGCGCATCTTGCCATAAAAATCTCTGATGGCGGAGCACAATCTGCTCGTGTACATATAAATAAATAAATAAATAAATAAATAAATGAATAAATATCGAGAAGAATCGTAGACTGTGATCCGTGGTGGATCAAGCGTCCCCCCGTTTCGTTGTTGAAAGGATCGAAACGGAAGGACGTGTGGTATTTGCGTACGTGTGTGAACGCGTATATGCGCGTGTGAGCGAGTGTATGTTTGTGCGCGTGTATGAGTGCGTGTAATCTATACGATGTAATGTAAATAATTCGACGTGGAAAAGCGCGTTTTGATCGCTTTTGGAGGAAGTTGATGATTACGCAGAGAGGATTATGTAGAGAGAAAGGGATAAGAGGAATATGAGTGCTTGTTGATGATGTGTGGACACGCGATTCGAGCGACCTACGCACACTGAAATATGGATATGCGTTTGAATTTCTACGTTTCATGAAATCAGTAAGTTTTGAAATTATGTGCACCAAATTAAACACTCGATAATCAGAGACGAAAGAAAAAAAGAGAAAAATATTGTATCGGAATTTGGATGGAAATTTTCACTGACATGGCGTCAACATGGCGGATTACTGATTACTCGCATCATTGTTTACTTTGATTAAAAATACTAGATCGGTAAGAAAGACTTTTCTTTTTTTTTTTATTTTCAAAATTATAGCAGTTTTCGACGACTTTTAACGACTGGAATTTGGATTAGAATTTTCATCGAATTTGAAATTATTTTTACGAATTAACGATCTGTTTGAATTCTTTATTCTATTTGTCATCGTATGATCAATATTAAATGCTAATTCAAACGAATTCATAAAACTTAGAAATCGATCTTCGCATCCGCGCAACACTGCGTTCCAGTGTGACTGAAAATGAAAAAGAAAAAAAAAAAAAACAAAAAGGAAAAAAAAAAGAAAGGAAAACATGAGAGTGCCAAACTTCGTAACCCTTTTCCCCCCCTTATTAGAAAGTGAAGAAGAAGAAGAAGAAGAAGAAGAAGAAGAGAAAAACTTCCAGTACTTGTAAAACTCTTGTACTTGCGAATTGTATTCAACTCGTCGTTGTCCCACGAGCGACCAGTATTCCCCCGTATTGAAATCGATGTCTGACGATGTACTGATGAATTTAAATTATTAATTATCGATTATATTTCGCGCGACAGGGCGAGCGTGACGCCCCTCCTCCCCCC